AAAAAAAGCTCAGGAAGTTCTCACACACTTCAGTGGACTTCTCCGGGCTGGCTGATTGTGGGGCGTTAAGAACAGAGCTGATGGTTTTAAAAAGCACACGTGGATTGTTAGAGTTGGTGGAAATGATGTCAGAGAAATATTTGTTTTTTGCAGCTCTAACAGTGGACTGATAGAAACGCCAGCTGTCCCTCAGTGCTTGGAAAGACACCTGTAGTTTGTCCTTCTTCCATTTTTGCTCTGCTCTCCTGCACTGGCGTCTGGCAGCACGTGTGACATCATCAGTCCAGGGGTCAGGCTTCGGTCTGGAGGTTCTCATCTTTAATGGAGCCACAGCATCTATAACAGTCTGACAAGCTGAGTTAAAATGAGAGGAGAGAGCTTCAACATGTGAACTAGGACCCACAGGATCCCTGGAGCTGATGGCAGAACTAAAATCTGCAGAGAACTGAGCAGCAGTGGAGGAGTTAATGACCCGACAGGGCTGTGCAGGAGCGCGAGGTTTGACTGACTGACAGACAAGTGGCATGTCAAACACAACTGGCATGTGATCTGAGAAAGCAGCATCACACACTTCCAGATTAGAAACATTAAAACCATGAGCTAAGACCAGATCTAATGTGTGGCCACATTCTTGTGTTGGACCAGACACAAACTGAACAAAATTAAAAGAATCCATCAGCTGTAAAAAAATCTTTGACCAATGGTTTGTCAGCACAACACACGTGGATATTAAAATCTCCAATTATCAATATCCTGTCATATTTAGGCAGGACTCCTGCCAACAAATCTGCAAAGTCCGTCAGAAAGTCCTTGTTGTATTTTGGAGCACACAGCACCCGGTGTGAGGATCCAAGCTCAAATAAGTTGAACTCAAAGCTGGAATAAAATGTTAAAGGTGTGATTTGTTTACAGAGACAGCTCTTCCTGTACACAGTTGCTATTCCTCCTCCACGACCTGTCCTCCTGGGAGAGCTGAAGAAAGTACAGTTCAGTGGCAAGAGTTCACAAAAAGCACTGGACTCACCAGGAGTTACCCATGTTTCAGTTAAGAATAAAAAATCCAGACCACAGGAGGTGAAATCCTTCAAAATAAATGTCTTGTTAGTTAGCGATCTAGCATTAACCAGGGCCATGTGAACATGAGATGGAGCGGGAGTGACGTAATCCATCCGAGGAGCTCTGTCCAGCAGCCGCAGGTTGTGATGATTCACCTTGCACGCACGTACGTGGGGGAGGGGGAGGCAGCGCACCGGCTGCCCCCCTCCCAGGCCGACAACAGGTACCAGAGCCGGGGTGTAATCCATCCGAGGAGCTCGGTTCAGCAGGTTGTGATGATGCACTCCGCGCGAGCGGAGGTGGGGGAGGGAGAGGCAGCCCGCAGATTGTCCCTCATCCAGGCCGACAGCAGGAACCTGAGAGGAGCTGTTAGGATCCGAGGAGTGCCACAGGATGAAACTATTAGATGCAGCTCCAAACCCATGAGAGAGAGCAGCCAACGCCAAACAGGCTTTCAGTCTGACCAGCTAGCCGCTGCGTTTCCCACGTCGTCTGCGCCCTGTCCGTGCAGGTGGAATGGGGGTGTGGCACAGGTAGGACGGCACGGCCGACAGAAATGGAGGGAAACAAGTTTTCTGGCCCTCTTGCACAAACGAAGCCAAGTTATTAAAACGGTCAAAGATTTAAAAGCGTTTGGTGATTATACACCAGCAGAGAGTTGGTACCCTGAATTATAAAAGCAAGAAACACAAAAACAATCAAGGTTTGCAGAGAGAGGCAAGCCGAACACACTGGCGCCGCCAGCCATCTTGAACCGTTGAACGTTGAACGGTTAGTTGAAAATACTTGTCTTGCTAAAAGTATGTTCTTTAAAACAGTGTCACTGATATTTTGTCAGATTCCAGGTTTAAGCCTCAAAATAAAAAGTTTAGGATTTGAGACTTAACATAGGATTGCATGTCTTGACATACAACTCAATTCTAGACTTGCGTGCCCCGTCATTGGACTTGAGACTTGCACCTCAACTTTGTACTTGACTTGCCATTGGACTCAACTCCATCCATCCATCCATCATCACGTTCTGGAGTCAGGTCTTGGGGGCAGCAGTTTGAGCATGGAGGTCCAGACGTCTCTTTCCACAGCCACCCCTTCCAACACTTCTGGGAGGATTCCAAGGCATTCCCAGGCCAGCCAAGAGACATAGTCTCTCCAGTGTGTTCTGGGTCTTCCCCGGGGTCTCCTCCAAGTTGGACATGCCTGAAAAACTTCCCTAGGGAGGTGTTCAGAGAACATCCTTACTAGATACGTAAACCTCCTCAGCTGACTTCTCTTGAGGCAGAGGAGCAGTGGCCCTACTCTGAATCTACATCAAACTTCTCATCCTATGTATAAGAGAGACTCTAGTTACCCTGTGGAGAAAACGTTTTGAGAGCCTGTATCTGTAATCTTGTACTTTCAGTCACAACCCCGATTTTGAGCTTCTCTGGGCAACTAAGCTCCTTCTTCACCACAATAAACCAAGCACAGTCCATAATACTGCATAAGCAGCACAGTCCATCTGTCAATCTCTCACTCCATTCTTCCCTCACATATGAACAAATTCCAGATACACTTGAACTCTGACTTGAGGCAGCACCTCACTCCCAACCTGGAGAGGACAGTTCACCCTTTTCTGACTTAGAACCAGATTTAGAGGTGCTGATTATCATCCCAGCTGACACAATGACACCAACAAAACCACATCCTCTGTAAATAGCAGAGATGGAAGCCTGAGGCCACCAAACTAGAATCCCTCTGCCCCTGACAACACAGAGAAATTCTGTCATAAAATTGGTGAAGAGAATCAATGATGATGGGCAGCCCTGAAGGAGTCCAACTCCCACCCTGAAGGGGGTCAGACTTAATGCTGGCAATGTGAACCAAACACTTGCACTGTTTGTATAGGGACTGAATGGTCCATAGCAGCAGATACCCACAATTCCATAATCGCGGAGCACCCTCCCCATCACCACCACCAATCCAAGGACCATTGATTGGACACTGAACTAACCTGGGAGGCTAAGAAGAGAGATGCCCCTATGATTGGAACACACCCTCCGATCCCCCTTTGTGAAGAGGAGAACCACCACCCCAGTCTGCCCTGATTATGGATGAATCAATCACCAAGTCCCCTGACGCAGCTTCCTACATAGAAGAAGTGTTGGTGGGATTGAGGAGGTCTTAGAAGTATTCCTTCTACCACCTGAATACATTATGAGTTAAGGTCCACAGCACCCCACCTCCACTATGCACAGTGTTGTGAAAGTGCTGCTTTCCCTGACTCAGCCGCCTGATGGGTTGCCAGAATCTCCTCAAAGTCAAACGAAAGTCTCTATCCAAGGCCTCACCAAACTCAACTCCTAGAAAAATTACCTGTGGAACACTACCTGCCATTTAGTCCAATCACATGTGATTGGAATTCTTATCACCACAGATTTTATATTTTGACTTGCAAGAAACATAAAACGATAGAAAGATTTTCCTCAAAGACTTGATAAAGTTTACAAGGAAAAGCAGAAACCACACGATTTATAATCAATATTTGACGATTTTATGGTAAAGCAATGATTTTAGAAGTTATTAATTTTTTCCCCTCAGATCATCGCTCCCCCAGAAAGGAAGTACTCAGTGTGGATCGGTGGCTCCATCTTGGCCTCCCTCTCTACCTTCCAACAGATGTGGATCAGTAAGCAGGAGTATGATGAGGCTGGACCTTCTATTGTTCATCGCAAGTGTTTCTAAAGGACCCGCCTCAGTCTTTGTGCTCTGCAACCCTCTAAAGTGCTTTACAACACAATCTCTCCCTCTTTTCCCATCCACATTCACATTTGTACTGCACTCAACTACATCTCTACAAACCTGAAAGAATTGCTCTATAGAGTCTAATCAGTGCTTTAGAACACATTCAACAATGGGGGGGGGGGGGGGGGGGACGGGGGGCAATGGGGAGTGCAGGGACATGTGACTGCATGTAGCTGGAATCGAACATCTGACTCCCTTGTTGGAGGACAACTGCTCTAACCACTGAGCCAAGTCGTCCCCAAATTCCTGGTCAGTTAATATACCACAGGTCAGCCAACAGACCCCAAGTCATCTTACAGACCCCAGGTCAACTAATAACCCACAGGTCGGCTAACAAACCTCAGGTCTTTTAACAGACCCCAGGTCAGCTAAAGGACTTCAGGTCAGCTAACAGACACCAAACTCCAGAAAAGGGAAATGTCCTATTTTTTTCTAAAATAAACAGTTAAATGTTCAGGACACCCTCTCCCCCACCCTCTGCTCACTTGCTTGTCCACTTTCTGTCACCCTCTCCTCCATGGTGGTTCAATCTCATGTTAAAAACATGTTTACTTTTTAACAAATAAGCTTGATATTTCCTACTGGGGCATGTCTTCCATCTTTGGGGAGAAGAGCACATGCACACTGAATTACAATGATGTCACAGCATTAAGATGATGTCACAGCCTGTATGAAGGGTAAACTTTGGACAAGTGAACAGTGGGCAAGGCCTCAGAGATGGTTTAACAGGTGTGTGATGTAAACTACAAGAATGGGTAAGTCAAATGGCCCAGAAAAATAATAAAGAGCTCCGATTCAACTCCACTGCTTGTTGTTTTATTCCTCATGTAATAACTGGTCATATTTGTTGTCATAGTAACCAGTTTGTTGGTAAAATTGTTCATCAGACGTACCCTCATGTTCCACCTTTGTGTTCTAACGTGTGATGATGACATTATAGGTTCATTATTGTGGACTCTGTGCCGGTCCACTGTGGTGAAGAGGGAGCTGAGCTGTAGGTCAAAGCTCTCTGTTTACTGATCGGTCTACGTTCCAACCCTCACCTGTCGGTAGAGACTGAAGGAAGCGAGGCTTTACGTGGGACACATCTTTATTTCAAGCATCAGCATCAAATATCATGTGGACAGGAAGGAGCTCAGAAACAAACACTGACTGACACCAACATTCATGTGTTCATCAGAATCTGACTGACACCAACATTCATGTGTTCATCAGAATCTGACTGACACCAACATTCATGTGTTCATCAGAAGGCACACGGTCACTTCAATGTCTGATTTTTTTCATGTTCTGTAAAAACATTGCAGGAGTCAAACACACACACACACACACACACACACACACACACACACAGAGGAATAAAAGCCTGGCAGTACAGAGGTGAGCAGCGCCACCTGTCTGTCACCTGAGGTCCAGCAGGTGGAGCTTCATGGCTCTGAACACCACGTGTTTACACACCTGAGGAGAAGGAAGGAGGCGGGGTTACACCAAGGTACAGATGAGTCTACCAGCTTGACTACTCATTACAACATTATAAAGAAAAAAAAATGGTTAGATTAGAGAAAATGTTAGTTTTTATGTTCTTCTGCATCTTTGGAATAAATAAACTTTATATTTGGACTGTCAGTTGGAAACTTAAATCGTACGACAGGTTGTAAAACTAAAACTATAAAATCAGTTAAATTATCCAAACCGGAGCAAAGCGTTAGCCGGCATACTCACGGTGAAGAGAGGCGGCTCCTTGGAGTGAGGATGGAAACCTTTGTGTCTGCAGCCTGAAACCTCAGACACCCCAGGACCTGTCAGCCGGAACACGCCCAACCTGCCACACAGTCAGTAGACGTTAGGAGGGTGCCCAGCTGCAAAGCCTCAAGGAAAACTAGTGTGCATGCAAACATGTATGTGTGTACACACTCGTTGTGTTTAGGAGCACACACGATGGCGATGGCCTCCGGCAGCATCAGCTGATATGAACAGTGAGTGTGGAGGTCCACGCTGGACAGGAAAGCAGTCTGCGTGGGATGAGTCTGAACACAAAGGTCAAAGGTCAAACAACAACACAAGAGAGGTCAAAGGTCAAAACTCTCAAACAGCTGGGCTCAATCTGATTTGTTACTGACACAGAACCAACTGTCCCCCAACCTGAGTCTGACAATGAACTGGACCCCGATGTTTCCTGAACTGGACCTGACTGGCCCTTGACAATCCTCTAATGTGACATTTAAAAAAATCTCAGTCTTGGTTTGACCTGGCAACAGAGTGAGACCTCTGTCCCTCTCTTCCTGTTGCTGATGCTGGGATCTGTCACAGTTGCCATGGTAATATCAGCTCATGCAAATGAAGGGGAAGAGAAGAACAACAGAGGTCATTTTGCTGTCCCAGAGTAGTGGGCAAATGCTGGGTGAGGAGACGTACGGAGATGTTAGGAGACATAACGAGACGTTAGGAGATGTTAGGAGATG